CCCAGCTGCCCTCGAAAGTGGCGACAGTTTCACAGATCGCAGCACCCCAGGGATGGCGAGGTCTAATCTGGGCCCCCGTAAGACGTCATTGTGCTGGGCCCCCCAGCAGCCCTCGAAAGTGGCGACAGTTTCACAGATCGCAGCCCCCCAGGGATGGCGAGGTCTAATCTAAGCCACCGTAAGACGTCACAGTGCTGGGCCCCTCAGCAGCCCTCGAAAGCGGCGACAGTTTCACAGATCGCAGCCCACCAGCGATGGCGATGTCTAATCTGGGTCTCCGTAGGACGTCACTGCGCTGGGCCCCCCAGCAGCCCTCGAAAGCGGCGACAGTTTCACAGATCGCAGCCCCCCAGGGACGGCGAGGTTTAATCTGAGTCCCCGTCGGACGTCACTCCGCTGCCCCCCCCCCCCCCCCCCCCCCCTTGCCCTCGAAAGTGGCGCCCTCCAAAGTGGCGACAGTTTCACGGATCCAGCCCGAGGAAGTTTCACAGAATATAATCTTAAGACGTCACTGTGCTGGCCCCCCCCGACACCAGCAGCCCTCGAAAGTGGCGACAGTTTCACAGATCGCAGCCCCCCAGGGATGGCGAGGTCTAATCTGAGTCCCCGTAGGACGTCACTCCGCTGGCCCCCCCCCCCCCAGCAGCCCTCGAAAGTGGCGACAGTTTCACGGATCGCAGCCCCCCAGCGATGGCGAGGTCTAATCGGGGCCCCCGTAAGACGCCACTGCGCTGGGCCCCCCAGCAGCCCTCGAAAGTGGCGACAGATTCACAGATCGGGAGAAAGGAGGAGAGGAGGGGGACGGGAAGGAGGAGGAGGGAAGACGCGACCGCAGTGCTCTATCCAAAACGAGTACACAACGCAGGAGGGCTGGGGGAAAAAAAAACATCTCAACCACGATGGCATTACTGTCTGTTGCTTTGCCTTCGTCATGCGTCGCAGTGCCGTATGCACCTTCTTTGCGTCGTGAAAGATGGAAGGTTTCTGGCCGCTGTAATGCGTTCGCCCTCCTTTGGGTCGTTGCTCCCAGCGTTGCAACGCACATCAGAATTCGCCGTGCTGTAAAAGTTCGCAGATGCGTCGGCAATGTCTCGTCTGCCCCGCACAGTCTCCTTCCTCTCTCGCACATGGCACTCCTGGAATGAACCATTTGGGTTTATGAATTATGATGCGTCCCATTACGAAACTCAGCGATTCTGTCAATTTCCATTCGGCGCTGTCCTCTTCTCATGCTCCAGATTATGCTCCGAATCTCCTCATGGAAAGCTCGTGTTGCTACAGAGTCGCCTGCGTTGGTTTCAAGCTACTCTTTCATAAAACACCCAATCCACCGCCACGGGGTTGGAATGTGTTTGATCGTGGGGCGCTGGAGCTGGCCGACGCCATAATCTTTTGTTTGCTCAAGCTGGTCACGACTGGGATGTTCGCCGCCTTCCGCATCACGCAAAAAAACACGAGTTAATTCTTCGACCTGGGAATGAGATGTTTCCGTATTCTGTGGAGGCGATCGTGCTGGCTGCATGGTGTTGTCGTTGCTCTTCGTCTTCTTGTTGGCATGCGTCTTGCGCGCCCCCTGCCGCAGGGCAGCGCAGCGCAGTCATACAGTGGAGCGGTCGGACCCGAGATCTGCAACTTCCGTCGTTCCGACGTCTTTGGCCGTTTTCCCAAGCCGGCGGCTCACCAGAAAGGCATCGACATGATTGTTCCACACTCTCAGGCACATGGTATGTGCAACGATGTTGATGTTGCTTGCGCTTGTGAATTTATGTTTGAAATACGTAGTCGTGACTTGAGTTTGCGGGCCACCGTCCATTGTCGAAGCCACTGCCCCCCTGCATTCGCCAGACCATATCCACATTGGCCCGTGCTCTTGGAATCGTCACCTTTCGTCTGACCGACTTGATGGTTGGCCCGCCCCGACGGAAACATACCTGTTCCGGCGTTTCACCTCGTTATGGATATTTGCCAACATGTCATGCACTGAATGCGCATGCGCGTGATCCGCGTAGCCACTGTGAATTAGATGGGCCGTGACCAATCTCAATCGGAATCCTAGGCGGCAAACGTCAACATACGAATCTGCCCGACAAGACCTCAAATTTAGAAATCTGTTTGCTCCACCTCTTGCGCGCTAGAATTTCAACGCACAGGCAAGCAAAAAAAACAATATGGAATCGTCCTCATGGTCTCGTTGATGGTGATGAGATCCTACCTCGTGCCCCCAAGATCATTCAAAAACTCGCATGTTCTGCCGTTGTCCGTAATCCCCCGAACGCTCTTGCCGAACAGCGCGAGATCGAAGCATTCGGCGATGTTTTTCTGATCCGTCGTGCGCTCCTCTATGGCGTCGGCTGGTGGGTCCTAGAATGTAAGGGATATAAACAATCGGATGAATTTCCATCTGCAAATCTGTACTTTCCCTGGCCGCCTCCGCCAAGAGCCTGTGGGCGATTGAGTCCCGCATCTCGTGAAACCTCCTGGCGCTTTGATGCCAGGATCGGTGAGGATAGGAATGTGGGCACACTTTCTATCATTGCGTCTGCTCCCCTCCGATGCAGGCGTCGGTGAAACAAAAACTGAACTGGTAGCCGTGAGACTTGTCTGGGGCGCGGGGAGAACCATCGGAAACCAATATTTCCCAGATCCACGTTTTACATCCACCCGCCCTCTTTCCACGGGTTGAACATGTTAAGTGGTATTCGTGCGTCCTCCTTCGTTCCATCATGAATTCTACCACTTCGTCATGAACCTCTACCGCGACTCCGAACGTCTCCAACTATCTCTCCTTATCCGCTTGTCCCACCTCCTCTTTCTTGGTTCTGACGACGCCAGTGTCCCAGCATATGCGAATGTCACATTGCTGATACCGCTTGTTCATCAAAGTGTGTGGCTGAGCTGGACCATCGTCTTGTCGATGGCACATTTTCCGTACGGGTCGTTCGCTGTGACACAGTCACAAATAATTGTCTGGCCGCGCACTGTCGTCAGGAGGCCAATGTTCGTCGATTTGGTCCTGAATATGATGGTGCTTATCCGACGGGTGAATGAAGGTCGATGTGCTCGACGCTATTTGATCGAGGTTGTCGTCAACCACTATTTGTTGTACATGTTCGATGTGATCCTCCTCATCATCCTCCGTCAATCCCCCATAATCACCCGGAGGTCCCTATCTCCATCACGTTCGTCATCTTGCGGATGTATCGCGAGCTTCTCTTGGCTGCCCAGACCTTCCTGGAATTTTGAGCCGAGGATCGTCTCCAGCTATGTTTGAGGTCAGCCTCTGGGACGTAGAGGTCCAGCTCGTCCTTCAATTTCTCTGCCTGCATATCCATGTGTTGCTACAAATCTGGCATTGCCTGTTCTGCGTAAGGTGCCTCATCTTTCGCTTATTGAATCATAATCATTATTTTGACATCGGTGAGGTCCGTCTCGAACTTTTCAGAACAATCTGCAAGTCTCTTCTTTTCATATGCAAAAAAACCATGGCGGGACAGTGTTCAGAGAATCGCCCGCCGGTATGGCAGCGTCGATCAGAGCGTGATCGCTCTTCTTAGGCTTCTGCTTTGGGGGAGTGGACCAGAAACTCTGCTAAACTCGTTTCGAAATCCCTGCCCAGCTCGGCGCCACGAGCGTGCACGAAAACATGGTGGGCTTATAAGAATGAGAGGTCAAAGTGCGTTATAGTCTCGATTTCAGCAGTTCCTCGCTCCAAGAAGGCTCAACACATCCAAACCCTCCATCCTCAACCCTCGACCCTCGACCCTCCTCCTCCTCCTCCTCCTCCTCCTCCTCCACCTCCTCTCCTCCTCCTCCTCCTCCTCCTGCGTCTCCTGCTGCGTCCCCACAAATTCCGGAGTCCTTCTCCTTCAGCTCTCCCTCCTCCGCCTCTGCCTGCGACCAGTTGTTTCAGAATGTGTGTCCGAGGGCGCGGACAGGCGCGCAAAACTCATCTCGTTTGGCCAAGGGCCTCGACCCTCGTCGGGAGAGCCCCCTCGTTGGCTGTCAAAATGGTGACGTGGCGAGCTTGCTGCCAGAAGGGGGGGGGGGAGCCCGATGCGAGCGAAGCTGGCCAGTCGAGTGAGCAGGGACCCTCCCCAACTCGGTTTTTTGGTGCACTCATGGGCATGATCTTCCCCACTGCCGTGCGTGCGGCCCTCATCGGCCCTGAGCCACCCTGAGGCCTCTGGGGCTCCATCTGCAAGTCTGAACCCTCCTTTTCCGTCTCCTCCTCCTCCTCGTCCTCCTCCTCCTCCTCTTCCTTCTCCTTCTCAATATCGTAATCGGCAGCATGAACATCATCACCACCAACAGCCACCTATCACCACCATCATCATCATCATCATCATCATCATCATCATCAGCAGCAGCAGCAGCATAATAATCATCTTCATCCTCAGCATCATCATCAGCATCATCAGCAGCATCATCAGCAGCATCATCAGCATCATCATAACACTCAGCATCATCATCCTCATCATAATCAGCATCATCATCATCATCATCATCATCATCATCATCATCATCAGCAGCAGCAGCAGCAGCAGCAGCATCACGATCGTCATCATCACCATCCGCAGAATCATCATGACTACCATCAGCATCATCATCGTCGCCGTCGTCGTCGTTGCCATAATCAGCAGCATCATCATCATCATCAGCAGCAGCAGCGTCATCATCATTGTCAGCATCATAATCATCACCACCACCATCATCATCATCAGCAGCATCATCAGCATCATCAGCATCACCATCATCCTCATCCACATCCTTCTCCTCCTCACCCTCAGCATCAGCATCAGCATTGCCCTCAGCGTCAACAGCATCATCACCATCATCCACATCATCAGCATCACCAGCATCGGCAGCATCGGCATCAGCATCATCACCATCATCACCATAATCATAACCAGCATCAGCAGCAGCATCACCCAGCATAATCATAGTCATCAGCATCATCATCAGCAGCAGCATCATCCTTTTCCTGATGGGCGGGGGCTCTCCCCGAGGCGTAGGCTGAAGCTCAGCTCCAGCGGAGACTCCTTACTGCCTTTGTCCTTCTCCTTCTCGGCGCCGCCGCCCGCCGCCTAATTCAGGCGCATGGGAGGGATGAGCAAACGCCGTTGCATGTGTTCACCGAGCGAACAAACTCAACCACAGCTTTTTCCAAGCACACCCTGAGCTTCGCTAGACAGTTGAATTGACTCGCGGGAACACAGGAAGCCGCCACTCTAGCGCCACCGAAAATCGCAGGCACGGCAGAGGGGCGAGGAAGACGAGGAGGACGAGGAGGAGCAAACGTCGCTGCAGGGGGGGGGCGTCCCGACTCTAGAGCCAACGATCGCGCGCGCCATACGAAGACAGCGAAAAGTTTCCACTAGGTCCGACCCTGCCTGGTGGCGAGGCACATCTTTCATTCGATGTACGGTGAGTCGCCCAATGGTTACTTCGAGCACAAGGGAGGAGGAGAAGGAGAGCAGTGAGCAAGCATTGGCACCAAGAAGCAGCAGGGACAGCAAGAGCATGATGCAGGGCCAGGAGGAAGCCCACGGAGCTTCGCGCGCACGCCCGGCCGCCGGGCCACTGCCTCTGCTGCGCCCTCCGTGGCAAGGCTGTGACACTGACGGGCCCGCCGAAGATTCGAACCGATCGCGCGAGAAGTCTGCCCCAGAGTTCGGTGGCAACCCACTGGAGCCTCCCATACCATTCTTGCCGGCCCTTGCGAATCGACGTCGCATCGACGCTAGTCGACGCTAGATCGACGCTAGATCGATGCTAAATCGGCGCGATCTCCTCGAGTCCCAGACGCCTGCTCGACGCCAGTCGACGCTCACGGAAGAGTTGCGAGGGCACACAGGGCTCCCATGATCTGCTGCCGAAGAGGTCGGCCCCAGGGAGGTCGCAAGGGCAGGGGCAGGAGCCCACGACGAACCTAAAGGGGCCCTGGGACGCACAACCTAAGAGAAACATATCACAGGTTTCCCCATATTTCCCCATATGTTCTGGGTTTTTGTCTTCCCCCCAACTTCCGAGATTCTCACATCTTTTCCTGGGAGTCGACGATTCATTGTGTTTGTGTGTGTGTGTTTTTCTCCCTCCTAGCTAATTCGCGTACCTGGTGGTTCTGCCCCCCTGGTTTCGCACGTTTGCAGCCCCTGGCAGCCCTGCAGCTTGCAGCCCCCGCCCCGGCGGCAGGTCCTGCTGAGCCGCGCGCGCGCGGCGGCAAGTAGTTTCGCTCGTAGCCCGAGCCGACTCGACTCGCCGTGGGCGCTTTCGCTTGGGGCCTGCGACAAAAAGCTGTTCCTCCCTCCCGAGAGCACCTTAGGAGGCAACTACTGGGAGGTTTTCGTCGGAAAAAATAAGGAGGATTAAGCCCCATTTGAGAGCTGTTACGCCAGAATGGGCCTCGGACTAAGCGGGATTAAGCCGGATTAAGCGGGATTAAGCCAGATCAAGCGGGAATAAGCCGGATTAAGCCGGATTTCGGACCAGGGCTACATCAGAATTTGACCTCCCAGGAGTTGCATCCGAGCTCCCAAAGGGAGAATAGGAGGACGAGGAGGAGGGGGAGAAGGAGCGAGGACCGCGAAGCGCGAAGCGCGAATAACTTCGCGCCCTCGGGGGAGCCCTTGCCGAGAGCACCTGCCCACAGCGCGTGCCCTCGCGGCCTGGGCACCGAGCCGCCCTCCCGCGGGCCCACGACCCGCACGGGGCAGCCGCCGCGCAGCCGCCCTGCACACGTGGCCGCCTCCGGAACCCCTGCACCCCTCCTCCTCCTCCTCCTCCTCCTCCTCCTCCTCCTCCTCCTCCTCCTCCTCCTCCTCCTCCTCCTCCTCCTCCTCCTCCTCCTCCTCCTCCTCCTCCTCCTCCTCCTCCTCCTCCTCCTCCTCCTCCTCCTCCTCCTCCTCTCCTCCTCCTCCTCCTCCTCCTCCTCTTGCTCTTCCCTCCTCCTCCTCCCCCTCCTCCTCCTCCTGCTCCTCCTGCTCTTCCCTCCCTCCTCCTCCTCCTCCTCCTCCTCTCCTCCACTCCTCCTCCTCTTCCTCATCCTCCTCCTCTTCACTCCTCCTCCTCCTCCTCCTCTCCTCCTCCTCATCCTCCTCCTCCTGCTCCTCCTCCTCCTCCCTCTCCCTCCTCCTCCTGCTCCTCCTCCTCCTCCTCATCCCCTCCTCCTCCCCCCCTCCTCCTCCTCCCCCTCCTCCTCCTCCTCCTCCTCCTCCTCCTCCTCCTCCTCCTCCTCCTCCTCCTCCTCCTCCTCCTCCTCCCTCTTGGCGGCGCGTGTTTTAAGGGAGCCCACAAAGGCCGTCCGCGCCCAGCCATGTACATGAGCACGGCCCCTCGATCCGCGACACTGGCCGCGTGGTACGAACATTCGGGCAATGCGTGCTCTCGAAACCAGCGTGGACTCATGTACGGTACGTCCTTATTTCGCTCCCGAGTTTTCCTCCCGCCACCTTCCGCCGCCTCTCCGCCAGCCTCCGCCGGCGGAGAGGCGGCCTCGTTCTGCGTCCGCCGCCCTTCCGCCGCCCGTCCGCCGCCTCTTGGCGGCGAAAGAGACGGCAACTCCTTCGATCCTCGAAGGCAAGGCGAGGCGATTCCGGAGACCCTGAACCAAAACATACTTTCATTTCTTTGGGGCGCATAATCTCGGCGGCGCGCGAGGGGGGGGAAGTGAGAGGGAGAAGGCCTTCTCAGAGGGCGGCGGGATTTCTCAGAAGGCCTCGGGCCTTCTCAGAAGTATCTGATGTGTCTTCGGGGAAGGCGTAGAATACATCTCAGAAGGACTGGGGACTTCCGAGCCTTCTGAGAAGGCCTTCTCCTTCTCACTTCCCCCCGGGCGCGCCGCCAATTTGTACTTCCGCCATCTTCTGCCGCCCTTTCGCCAGCTTCCGCCGGCGGAGGCGGCCTCGTTTCACGTCCGCCGCCCTTCCGCCGCCTTCCGCGGCGGAAGAGATGACAACTCCTTCGATCCTCGAAGGCAAAGCCATTTGGGGGGATACCAAAAGGTACCGATACCGCTACTCCCCGGATCGCGTTTCGAGTAGGATTCCGAGGGGAGTCCAGCGGTGGC